GGTTAACCCAAAACCCCGCAACCCCATCCCCCCGCGGGCATCCGGGTACACCCCGCGGTATATAAACATCATACCCCACACCATCCAAACCCTAAAAAAAAAAAAAAAAAAACACATCGAGGCGAAATCTAGACTTACCCGCGACCATATTGGAAACTGAATCAATCAAGCACTCAAATGTTGAAAGTCGATAAAAAGGTAATTGGCGTTGAATAAACAAAAGAATTGGGCCCTAACCAGGGATCGAACCTGGGACCTCTCCCATGCGCGCTGACAAGTGTCAACCCTAAGGGAGAATCATACCGCTAGACCATCAGGGCAAATTAGCCAGATATCTGACTGATATGGGCAGTCCCAAATTTACTCTCTATGATCTCTTCATGCCCCTCTCACAACTTTGATCATCGATTTGACAATACAAGTCGCACCTCCAGCGCGCTCGCTGGTCATCTCGTCTCCCACAATAGCGCAAATTGACGCCGCAGCGGCGGCTGCACAGAGCGCTCTGCGCCAGTCATCCAATGCCAAGATCAGCAATTCTAGAACGCCTCCTAGGCCCCCGTCCGGCCAGCAATAGTTTCTGGATCCCGCAAATCACCCCAAATTAAACCAGCAAAAAACAAAAGAAGCATCCGCCCCATCCAAGCATCCAAGCAACGCTGCTGAGCCTCTCGATCCAGCGGGTGATCGCTCAATGCAGCGAAGAGTGATCTTCAGGAACGGGCATTTCCTGCCTTAGTGCGCCTGCGTTCCTCCTGCCCTGCCGGGGCAACAAGCCCGGCCGCGTGCCATTGATAGGTAGCTAATGCTGCGCTGAACATGGCGTTCCCTGGCACATGCACTACGGGCGGATGGGCGAGATGGCAAAGCACAATAAAAACAGAAACACTATTCTTAGAGGCAAACAAATCAATCAATCAAATCAATCAATCATCCAGGCCTATCATCCGCTATCCGGGTGCATCCCACATGCAGCTACCGGTACGCCATAGCCCAGATGCGGCCTCTCAAATTCTTGTGTGTGTTTTCTGTTTCTCCTTTTTCGTGAGGTCGTCTGAACTTTTTGTTTCTTGCGGTAAACAACAATAAGCTTGTCCAGCATTTGTGCGATACAACCCCACGTGCCCCCTAAAGTCCCCCCAGGCGTTCGTTCGCAAGCCTAAAAAGACCAGACGGTTTTAAGGAGTCAAGGGCCTCCGTCGAGGGAGAAACATGGCAAAACCACCGTTCCCTGAGACCGGCAGTAGCTCCGCTTCCTTGCCCTGACGAGGCCTATGACGCGTTCGGGGATCGCCACTGGTCTCTGCTTCCTCTTCCTCCTCCTTCTCCTGCACCGCCTAGTGGGGAATTCGACGTACCGCTGAATTACCTGCCAGCTTGGTAAGAAGGGGGAATTGGAAGAACCAGCAAAGGGCGAGCAGAAAAGTGGTGATTGTGTGCCCACACCCGGGTGGGACCGGCCCTCCGTACCCGTCGCCTCTGCCCTGGAACCAGCTGGGAGCAGATCCAAAAGCCTCGCCCCCTTTCGCCAGCCCAGTTGCCAGTGCCAGCGAACCCCCGGCCGCGTACGGGCCGTTGAGCGGCAGCGGCACCTTGGATCGGATCATGGGGGCCGGTCGGGAGAGGCAGATGGAGCTGGCATGAAAACGGAGCACACCGCAGCGAGTACGAAGCTCAGTAAATGAGCTGCGAGGCGCTGCCGTGATGTTCGTCAAGCATGTTGGCGGTATAATAAAGTAAACGAGGAGCAATACCGAGATGGGTTTGATGGGATACCCCCATGTGTCCAGTGCCTAGACAGCAACGCTGTATGCCAGGTGGACTTCACATGGTTGACCGTCTTGATTGATGGATTGGCTTAATCTCCAGAACCCAATGCAGCAGCAAGCAGCTTCTCAACAAGGCGTCCGTCACTGGGCTGTCATCCGGTTTCCCCATCGGACGATTTGACTGTGTTCATGCTGGCTTGCATGAGTGAGTGCAAGTAACTCGGTCGGATGGCTTCGGTATTCCGTCGTGGACAGTCCTCTCGCGGGGCTCGAGAGGGGTATTTCGGGGGCTAGAATATGCATGCTGACAACATGTTGATGGTTGATTTGACAGTGAGGAGGTGTCCAAGCTGGCGAGAACGAGCCCTCCATCAAGGCTGTTTGTGAGACAACGTCATGGAGGGCGAACAGTGACGACGAAGGCCTTCGACTTTGGGAAGCCGGGTGTGTGGTTGCGGTTGTGCTTGACGGGTTCCGTGGTGAGAGATTTAACTTTATGCAACCTCGGGACGTGTGTGCCTCCACCGGATCTCCACCGTAAGCTTGGAAGGGGCGTTGTTTTTTATGAGAATTTTCTTCCTGTGAAGGACTTTTTCGAGAAACCTGAATCGTCGACGAGTTCTTTTTCTCGTTGGTGTGTGTCATTGCGGTACGGCAACGGAACGGGATCACCAGCGAAACCCACTGACGGTATGGTGGATGCCCTACCTCACGTTAGGTCGAGTTTGTGTAGCTTCGAGAGCCAGAGAGGTTGTGTGAGTGGTGAGCGTCAGTGTGTGTCACTGCTGATGCTGTACCCATATGCGTGAGTTGTTCCTGAGCGGCGTCCAACAAGAGTTCGCCGTTGCAGGTCCAGTTCCGGGTCCAAGTCCCCAATCCAAGGTTCCAGACCCCCCGTGGCTGCTCTTCCCACGCTTCCCCCTCACGACAACACGCGCCAACGAGCGGGTGTACCTGGCGGCGGCGCCTGCTGCCGGCATTTGCTTGGGATCCACGGGGCGCACTGGACTCTCACTGGACACAGTTGGAGCCGACGGGCCTTGACGGGTTCAATGTTGTGTGTTCCATTCGTCCCGCGCGGTGTTTACCTGCACTAATGCCAGGTACATCGCTCCCAGTATGTACGGCCAGAGCTACACATTGCTTGGTTGCGCACAAACTTCAACAGCCGCCAAAGGACCTTTTTTTTTTTTTTTTTTTTTTGTTGGGGGGGTGGGGGGGGGGGGGGGGGGGGGGGGGGAGGGAGGCGGGGGGGGGGGGGGGGGGGGGGGGCCGGGGGGGGGGGGGGGGGGGGGGGGGGGGGGGGGGGGGGGGGG